ATAATAATAATCATCATCATCAACAACGAACTCATAAATTAATGAAGTCTGTAATTTACACAAAATTGAACTCACCATAGAAACGAGTTAGTTGAAATCGGTAAATTAATCCCTACAACTATTGAGTCATATTAGGCTGTTTACGAATAAACTCAGTGATTTTTACGAGCAATAGCAAAAAAATCAGATGAGCACCTGCTGGAACAATTGAAATTCACGCATGCGCTCTAAATGTCATTACCATTTATTAGCCATTAGGCAATAAGTATTTGTCCATTACGCATGTTTTCATCTCGATTGAGTTTTTAATATACAAATTTAAATTGTTTATTGTTGCTGATATTAACAAAAATAGACATGCATTGCAGGAAAAGGCTAGAATAATTGCTCTTTGGCAGCAGGGAGATTCAGTTCGTAACATGGGTCGAATTTTAAATAAAGATGAGAGTAGCAAAAAGTTATCATTTTTAATTACACATTATTTCCGTGTATAATTTTATTTATTTTTATTTTAAATCAGAAAAGTTTCAAATTTTAATTAAATGGAATAAGGAAGGGTGTTAGATAGAGCCGCAATTCAATGGCATGGCAAGCGAGTCAACCGAGGCATGCGTGAGTCGCTGCCTCAGAATTCTTTTCACGTTCACGTCCCCTAAGTATACTGTTGCTTTGTTATCGTGTGGATGTTGCTTAATTAATTCATCCGTTGGTGTTTACGGTGGTGCGTTGTAGACAACTTCATTTGCTGCTTTTTAATTGATAATACATACACCTATGTCCCGTGGTTCAGTTCTGACACCTCTAGTAATAAGCAACATTTTAGGAAAGATAGTTTTAACCGTAGCTGATCATAAAACTATATATTCTTGACACAACAGAAACTGAGAAAAAGAGAACAAAATATTCCGCTTGTGGCTGATGTGCCATTATTATATCTTATATTTACAGAAGGTTTGTTATTTTGTCTGATTTTTTTTTATATAAAAGACATATTCGGAAAGTCGGAAAATTAGTTATTTATGTTGTTGGCACGTAGGCAATTAAATTACCTAAAATTTAAAGTAGGTATCTAAAGTCATATTTCACCAATTGTTAACTGTAAAATAAAGGTTGAATGCGGAAATATCTGTTTCCGAAAATTGAGCATTATTATTGCAAAAAGCAAAGGATATTGATAAAACGTGCAAAACAGCGATATAAAAAAAATGTTCCAGGATCAGGATTGTGAATTCGGTATTTTTGCATTAAATTGAGCTTATTATTACGTTGATTTAAAAAAAATCACCTATGTCTCTTTGTTCCCACGACACGACTTTTCTTATAACGTTAATTGTTAATTAACTGTTGGACGTATACGGACCGGGATTTTAGAGACAATAATTAAAGAAAGGGTTAAACTTTTATTTTCAGAAATTTTACATTGATAGCTCATGTAATAAACGCGCTAGCAGCGATAAAAGATAACGTTAATGAACAGTCTGCACGAAGCAGCGCTGGGCCCGCGCATGCGCGTGAACATCGTTCTCTTAGCGCGCTTGATTTTTAACTTGAACTTTTCAAATTCAGTTAAAAAATCTTGCGTGCATCGAAGGTGCTCCTTCTCCCGCGTACAGGCTATTCATTAACGTTAACTTTTACTGCTGCTAACGCGTTTATTACATGAACTATTAATTAGTTACGTTATAATATAAAGCTATCTTGAGAACAAAGAGGCGTAGGTGATCTTTCTTTTTTTAAATTACCATAAAAATAAGCTCTAGTTAACGCAAAAAGAGCGAATTCCCGAGCGGCTTTTGCCTAACCCTGGGGTCAATTTGTTTATAACGCTGTTTTTCACATCCTACTTTGTTAGTTATAAAGGGCAACTGAATCTCAACTTTTTGAAATTTTTCTTTTTCGATACGTTTCATTTGATCAACAAGAATAGAATATCTACATTATTAACTTCTAAAATTAACGTTTAATTAAACAATTAATTGCAAAGAAACGAAGTTAATTAATAAATACCTGGAGCAACAGTTTCATTCACGGTCAATCGAATTGGCCCTTGACACATATGTTGATCTTTAGATTGACCGTCTTTTCCATAAATTTTATCAACATCCATCTCTTTTTGCAATAATAATGCTCAATTTTCGAAAACTTATTTTTCCGCGTTCGGCCTTTTTTTACAGTTAACAAATTGGTAAAATATAACTTTAGATACCTTAACTAAATTATAGGTAATTAATTGCCTACATGCCTCCAACATAAAATAACTATTTTTCCGATATGTCGTCTAGATTTTCATGGGCAGTAAAAAAAGTAATTTTGCAACTTACTTATTTGCAATTTGCCAACTTAACGTCAAGTCTTTCGAGTTACTATTTTGATATTATCATACCCTTGTCCTCCATAAAATGCTATAAATAAATACCTACTAATATTTTTTAGTAAATTTTCAGGTTTTGTGATCTAATTCCATTGGAGTAAAGAGTAATTATTTTAGCCTTTTCTTGATTGGTACAATGTATGTCTGTTTTGTGTTAATAATAGCAACAACAAACAATTTAAATTATAAAAAAATCTCAATCTTGACATAAACACGCGTAATAGACAAATACGTAGGTATCGTCTAATGCTAATAAATGGTAGTAGCATTTAGAACGCATGCGTGAATTTCAGTTGTTCCCGCAGATGCTTCGCCCGATTTTTTAGCTATTGCTCGTAAAAATCACTGAGTTTATTTGTAAACAGCCTAATATGACTCAATAGTTGTGGGGATTAATTTACTGTTTTCAACCGATTTATTATTCACACCAATGGTAAGTTCAATTTTGTGTAAACAGACTTCATAATATAATCACAAACTTCAATCAAAGTGACTATGAAGCGGGCGTAGTAGAACCTTGTCTCTCAGATCATTGCGGTCAATTTATCAAAATCGAAGCAAAATGTGACACCCCACAACCAGTGTACAGAAGGCGTATTACCAGAATTGGTATATAAAAAACATGGAACTCCATAAACAGAGTGGACTGGAATTTGTTTAGGTATGAGAATATTAATATTAACTTGGCATCAAATTTTTTATGCACTACTTATTCAGATTTAGTAGATCAATATTTTCCGCTTGAAAAGATCACCCCTCAAAACAACAGACCTCCTGTTAGGTGGTTTTAATACAGGTTTACATCGAATGAGAGAGACTTTGTCAAGCGTAAAAACTATTTTTAATGTAACACAGAAATATTCAGATTATGAGGTTTATAAGATTCTTCGAAAAAATTATATTCGCGCGATAAACGAGGCTAAAAGAAACTCATATCAAAACTATATAAGTAATTCCACCAATAAGTTAAAAGCTAGCTGAAGTGTAGTGAAGTTTGAAAGTAACAAAGTACAATCCCAGCCTGTGTCTTCTACACTGATATCCGTGAATCAATCCAATACATATTTCACCAATGTAGCCAACAATATAAGTAAGTCGCTTTCACCTACCCACTTAATATTAGATGATATTATAGGCAACGTGCCTTCGCTATGTCGCTCCTTTTATTTGGATTCGGTGACCGAATCTGAAGTATTAGATGCAGTTAATTCTTTAAAAAACTCTCCATGTACTCATGATTTTGGTCTTAACTCAAAAATTATTAAGGCAACAATTGATATAATATTTCCTGCTCTAACTATATTGATAAATACATGTTTCAGTAAAGGCATTTTTCCAGACTGCTTCAAGTTGACAAAGGTAATTCCTTTATTTAAAAAGGGCGACCCGGAGAGTACCGATAATTACCGCCCTATGTCAGTTATTCAAATTTTTGGTAAGGTAATTGAAATGTTATTGAAACCACGACTATATAAATACCTGGAGCAAAATTCAATCTTATGCGCATGCCAGTTTGGTTTTGGACCTGGGTGTTCTACGTCTAACGCAATCCATAGAATTGTAAGAGACAAAGTAGAAGGTTTTGAGAAAGGTAAGCATACAGCCATTGCTCTCTGCAATTTAACAAAGGCCTAATATTTAAAAACTCTATATTTCTTCGAATCGTGAAAATATAAAAGGCGAGTGTGTTAAGTTACTTGGGGTAGTTATAGACGACAGTTTAAGTTGGTCCGGCCATGTTGCATATCTCTTGAAGTCGCTCCCAAGC